CTAACCAGTGAGTGACCCTTTGGTTTGCAAGCCAGCACTCAATCCATACCAGCCAGGGCTTGTGTTTTGCTTTTAATGGTAATAGTATATTTCCTGAAGGTTTTTCTTCCATGATAATTATCACTCAGATTACACAGGTGACTCTCAGGGCCTGTCAGAATCTGAAGGCAGATACCAAAGTTGTCTTAGTTTGAAAGGTTGTGAAAATGTAGCTCATGTACTTCCCTTCTCTTCATTAAATATTCCTTTTGATTTCACCAGGTTTCCCACACTAGTTCAACTTGCCATCCACTTCATTTTTGCCAAGTTTACCTATTATTGTGCACTATCTTTGTGATTGTTTATATTTTGTTGTACCTCTGCTCTTATTTACTTCATACTTATTTTTAAATTAACTCATATTTTATTCCTATTTAAAGAGGAACCTTTTGGAAGCAACCTGTGTCCATTCACAGATGAATGAATAAAGAAGTATGCAGCCTTGACTGGTGTGGCTCAGTTGGTTGGGCGTCATCCAGTAAAGCAAAAGGTTGCCAGTTTGATTCCTGGTCAGGGTACATTCCTGGGTTGCAGGTTCAGTCCTGGGTCGGTACAACGTTTCTCTCCCTCCGTTTCTTCCTCCCTTCTCCTCTCTCTGTAAAAGTGAACAAATAAAAAATTAAAAAAGTACAATGGAATAGTGTTCAGCCATTACACAAAATTTGAAATCTTCCTATTTGAAACAACATAGATGGACCCTGAGGGTGTTATGCTGAGTGAAATAAGTCAGACAAAGAAAGACAAATACCACAAGATCTCTTTTATATGTGGAATCTAAAACACAAAAAAATGGGTGGTTGACAGTGGCAAGGGATACAGGGTATGTGAAATGAGTAAAGGTGGTCAAAAGGTACAGACTTCTAGTCAAAAAGTAAATAAATCCCAGGAAGTTATGTACAGCATGCTGACTATAGTTAATACTACTGTATTGTATACTTGAAAGTTGCCAAAGAAGATTTTTATTTATTTTTTATTTTTTAATATATTGTATTGTTTATGCTATTACAGTTGTCCCATTTCCCTCCCTTCATCCCCCTCCACTCTGCACACCCTCTCCCACCCACATTTCCCCCTCCTTTAGTTCATGTCCATGTGTCATAAGTTCTTTAGCTTCTACATTTCCCATACTATTCTTGCCCTCCCCCTATTTTCTATCTACCATCTATGCTACTTACTCTCTGTACCTTTTCCCCCTCTCTCCTCCTCCCACTTCCTTGTTGCTAACCCTGCATGTGATCTCCATTTCTGTGGTTCTGTTCCTGTTCTAGTTGTTTGCTTAGTTTGTTTTTGTTTTTGTTTTAGGTGTGGTTGTTAATAATTGTAAGTTTGCTGTCATTTTACTATACATGTTTTTTTTTTTATCTTCTTTTTCTTAGATAAGTCCCTTTAACATTTCATATAGTAAGGGCTTGGTGGGATGAACTCCTTTAACTTGACCTTATCTGAGAAGCACTTGATTTGCCCTTCCATTCTAAATGAAAGCTTTGCTGGATAGAGCAATCTGGGATGTAGGTCCTTGCCTTTCATGACTTGGCATACTTCTTTCCAGCCCCTTCTTGCCTGTAAGGTCTCTCTTGAGAAATCAGCTGACAGTCTGATGGAAACTCCTTTGTAGGTTATTGTCTCCTTGTCTCTTGCTGCTTCTAGGATTCTCTCCTTCATTTTTACCTTGGTTAATGTAATTATGATGTGCCTTGGTGTGTTCCTTCTTGGGTCCAACTTGTTTGGGACTCTCTGAGCTTCCTGGAAGTCTATTTCCTTTGCCAGATTGGGGATGTTTTCCTTTATTATTATTATTATTTGTTTAAATAAGTTTTCCACTGGTTGCTCTCTCTTCTCCTTCTGATACCCCTATAATTCAGATGTTGGAACGTTTAAAGATGTCCTGGAGGTTCTTAAGCCTCTCCTCATTTTTTTGAATTCTTATTTCTTCATTCTTTTCTGGTTGTATGTTTTTTTTCTTCCTTCTGGTCTCTTCCATTGATATGAAACCCAGCTTTCATTCCATCACTATTGGTTCCCTGTGCATTTTTCTTCATTTCACTTATTGTAGCCTTCATTTCTTCATCTAAATTGTGACCAAAATCAACCAATTCTGTGAGCATCCTGGTCACCAGTTCTTTGAACTGTGCATCTGATAGGTTGGCAATCTCTTGGTTGCTTAAAAATACTGGTTGTGGAGCTTTCAATTCTGTTTGAGCCACCCCCCCCCCTTTGGTCTCGTCAAACCTGCTGCGGTCCAGCCACAGCTAGGTCCAGGGGTTCCTGAAAGGTGGGTAAGGCGTCGGCGATGGGAGACAGATGACAACACACCTCAGAGGACAGTGATGCTCTGTTCCGTTTATTGCAAATATAAGCAGGTTTTTATACTTTCATTTTTAGCAGTGATTGACATTTCCGATTAGGTGAAGCAGAAAAAAATTAATACAAAGGTAACCAGGAAAAATACAAAAATTCCCATAGATTCAGTTATATTAAACAAAGATTATTTTAACCAGGAGAGCCATAAATCAGACAATTAGAAATAGCTGTACGTACAGAGTTTGAATGTCTTATTGTTTATTAAAGTGCTCAGAATTTGTCATGGGGCAAAAGGATACGCTAATTGAATAGAGGTTATAGGAAATTTATTATAAGGCCTTTGTGATGTCTAACTTACCTATTTACCTTTTCTGTCTAAAATATTTCTCTATGTACCATGGACTCTAACTCCCTGGTAACTGTTTCTACGTGCTTAATTTATAATAGTTAACCAGCTTTTCTTATTTCTTTGCCTGTCTAATTCTATTTGATATATATTCCTATTCAAGGTAAAGGCGGGGCTGTTACTCCAACAACTTTTAGACACTCAGGGGCTATTTCATTAGAGGGGATTTTATTCTTTGGTCAAGAAATTATTTTATACAACTTCATTGGAATTATGCAAACCAATAAACCTGAGATACAGATATCTAACAATCCCACCACCTTTTAATCTCCAAAACAAACAGGTAAGGAGAGATAAACAGGAAATTCAGCTACAGTAAACTCTTTTTATTTCTTAGTTAATAAACACCAGGGAGGTCTGCTTCAAGCTAGCTTTTCCATGAAATTTAGACTATTATAAGGCACTTGACCTTCATCCTTATTGACCATTCTAATGCCACCCTCATTATATGCTCCTGTATAAGACAATGGGAGACTTGGAACCCTCTGGAGACCATTAGCTCCTTTTGAGGGATACCATAATTTGCCAATAATCTAATATGCTACCCAGGGGTATCCCTGGGCTGTGGGTAAGGGTCTATATAGTTTTTTTCTTGTTTTCTTGAAAGACTCTTTGTATCTATGGGTAAGGAACAGGCATGGGAAAGTCCGCCATTAATTCAACCTATTGTAACTGATTTATGAATTCTTTTATGGGAACAATCAAGGATAATTTCTTACTCAGGTTTATAAACACCTTATTTAAAACAATCTGGGCATGATTCAATAGTCTAGGGAGAACTAGTTGTCCCTTCAGAATTTCCCTCAAAATCAATCATTGACTCTTTTCGAGCCTCTTTCTTCTCATGGCCTGTTCTTATGGGAATCAGGGTACAAAGTAAGATCATGATTAATATTAGCAAGGAAATTATTAAAAGCAATCCCCAGAAAAATTACCGCCCCCCTTTGTATGCCACGCTCTTTTCCAGGAAGATGGATTACTTGAATGCCCTCTTTCCATGTTCAGACCTTGTCAAAAAACATGGTTGGAATAGGGTGTGGCACATACCTGTTATGTATGAGGGGTGGAGCCTTGCATGTTCACCAGGGCGGGGCACCCCAGTCGCTGGGTTGTGATGATGTATGTGGGTGCAGGGTCTGAGAGGGAACAGTGGCACTTGCTCCACTCTCCCTCAGACTCCAGTCCCTTCCACCACTTCCCCCGAGCAAACTGGGCCCCTCTGGTGCCAATTCCCGTGTGGGTGGGCTTGTGCACACCATGGGACTTTCCAAGGATCTCTCCTGTGAGGCTGGCTGTTCCTGCGCCTCAACTCCCCACAGGTGTTTCCAATTAGTGCTCCAAGGCTCTGTTACCCAGCGCTGTGATCCTGGGTTGTAAGCAGTGCCTTGCTTCACAATTGCTGCCTCACTGGGTCTTCCAGCTGCCACTTGCGCACTCAGGGTCCACCTGCTTCAGTCTTGTGCACCCCAGATGCTTTATGTGCCCAGTCCCAACAGTCTCTGCTCTCCGTGCCATGACCTGCGCCCGGCTGCCTGACTTCGCCCCTCCTACAACTTCGCCCCTCCTACCGGTCTGGATGAACGTGTTTATTTTAACTTTTTGGTTTTCTGACTTCCATTCAGATCAATTTTCTGTCATTTCTGGTTGTTATTCTGTTTCTAAATTGTTGTTGTCTCTATCTTGGTTGTGCGAGTAGGCATAGTGTGTCTACCTATGCCTCCATATTGGCGGGAAGTCTCCCAAAGAAGATTTTAAAAGTTCTCATCATAAGAAAAAAAAAAGCTGTAACTATGTGTGCTAATGGACTTTAACTAGACTTACTGTTATCATTTCACAATATATACAAATATTGAATAATCATATTGTATACCTGAAACTAAATATAATGTTATATGTCAATTATATCTTGATTTTAAAATGTATTAATACAAAGTCTGCAACTTACTCTCAGATTATTTAGCAATAAAATATGTATGTATGCATGTGCAAAAAAGAGAAAACTTTACAAGTGAGAAAACAGTATAATTTGTATATTATGTTATCATAATAAAATGATAACATTCTACATAGCTACTTAACCTAGGCTCTACTCAATAATAAAGGTTAAATACAGTGTTCTTGAGGAACTAAAGGCTGGTAGAATGCAACTTTAGCTGATGCTTTGCCATATACCACTGAAAAGCATACCATGCATTCCACCTTGTAAAAAATACTAGGTTGTCATCCTACTTAAATATATATCTCTTACTTACAGGGGTTGTGCTCGGCTCCGTGAAGTTTCTGTTCCTCACGGAACAGGGCAGGTCAATCTTGAAGAGAGAAGGAAGTGGCCCTGATCAACTCAAGAAATCACTAGAAAACTAGATGTGTATTCAGAGTGTGCAAAAGGAAGAAAAGAACGCACAAAAAGATCAAATTAATGACCCATTTCTGTTTGGTTCAAAGCTATCTTTGAATTCTGTATCACCCAAAGAAATTTTTATTTTGGATAAATCTTTGGCTTTTAGGGTCAGTTTTAGTCCCTTGAGAACTCTTATTGCATAAAATGAGAAATCCATCTCTTAGTCCTGGCTAGTGTGGCTCAGTGGATTGAGTGCTGGCCTGTGAACCACAGGATTGGTGGTTCAATTCCTAGTCAGGGCACATGCCTGGGTTACAGGACAGGTCCCCAGTAGGAGGGGCATGAGAAACAACCACACATTGATGTTTCCCTCTTTTTGCCCCCCACTTCCCCTCTGTCTAAAAATAAATAAAATCAAATCTTTTTTAAAAGAAATCCATCACTGAAAAGGAAAAAATTACTTCTAATCATTTTTCAAAGGCAATAGAAATAGTAGATTGCCTATTGACATGTCCAAAATATTTCCTTTATATATAATAAATCAGTGTGGAAAAGGAATTTTGTGACTTTGATATATCAGGATTACAGAAACTGACCTTTACCTTGGTAAAACACTTTGGAATTTGCAAAGCATTTTCTTATATTATAGTTTATTTAATCCTTACCACAATCATTTAAAAATGTCCAAAGTCTTGTTTTCCTCAATATTTATTTGTATAACATACGTATAAACTTCATATTCCTAGAAATCCTAGGACTTGCCCTAAGAGCTCACTGAGCTTAAGACACTACTGACCATGCCAGCCTGTATCATCCACAGTATTGTGGCCAGGATTGCAGAAGCATTGCTTCTGCTTCTGTGAAGGGAAAAAGAATAAGCATCTGAGTAGATGAGAAAGAAAAGAAAAAGTCTCACTATTACCTGAAATTGTACTCAATTTGGCTTGTTCAAAAAGATATTTCCCCTTTTAGAGTCACTTTGTGAGCATTGACCATGCCAGAATAATGAGCATTCTCTGTGGCAGGCTGAAGGGTGAGTCAGGATTCTAAATTCTGGCTGCAGTACTGGGGAAAATGGAAACACCAGTAAAAGTACGTCATGATGTCAGCAGTTTCCAAGGGGTGGTCAAAATGCTGAAAAAAACATAGTTTTGTAATGCAGTAAATGTACCTGATGCCCCTCCCAAAGGAGGAAAGGGTTTGCTAAAAGCAAATCTTAAGGGCTCATGGTATCTGTCCTCAAGCAGGAAGAAGTTTTGCTGTTTTGCCTAGCATCCAACATACCACCACTTAAGCAGTTTGTTGGCATTTAACAGATCAAAGGAGATGCTACAAAGGGTGGGAGTGCAGCAGTCTCTCCAAACTCAATGTGGACAGCTCTGAATGACATTCCCTAAATGAAATTGCTCTGTCCCTTCATCAGTGATCCAAATCCAAGTCAGGAATTCTTCAGAAATTCTTTACCCCTTCCTAAACTTCACATCACTTTGTGAAATAATGATTACCACAATGTTAACTCATACAATCTTGTATAACTGACAAGGGATTGGTACCCAAAACATATAAAGAACTCTTTCAATTCAGTAAGGAAAAGGCAACAACCCAATAGAAAAAAATGAGCAAAATTAGCCCTTTTCAAAAGAGGAAACTTAAATAGCCTACAGATGTATTATTACGTCATTGGTAATCTGGGGAATACTATTTGAAAAAAATGAAATAATGAAAATTCATATTCACACCTAAAAATGTACACGAATGTTCGTAGTTGTATTTGCAATAGCCAAAAACTGGAAATGGCACAGGAGTCTTTCCATGGATAATGGTTAAAGAAACTGGTCCATCCAGACCATGGAATACAACTCAATAATAAAAGGAATGGACTGTTGATAGACATAACAATTCAATGGTTCTCCAGGAGATTATGCTAAGTGACAAAAGCCAATCCTAAAAGGTTACATACTGCATGATTCCATTTATATAACATCTCTGAAAGGACAAAGGACAACATTTTGGAAATGGAGAATAGGGATTAGGAAGGAAGGACAGGATTGAAGGAAAGTAGGTGTGACTATAGAAGGGCAATAGGAGTGAAACGTGGTGTTGTAACTTCTGTATTTTGAGTGTAGAGGTGTATATACAGACTTGTACATGCCATACAATTATATAGAACTAACGAAAACACACAGAGAGAATACACATAAAATTGGGGAAACCTGAGTAAAATTGGTGGACTGTGTCAATTTTAATATCCCGGTTGTGACATTATACTATACTTTTATAAGATGTTATCATTGGGGGAGACATTGGGTAAAGGATATATGGATCTCTTGGTATTACTTTTTCCAACTACATGTGAATCCACTATTATCTCAACAAAAACAAACAAAAAAAGAGGCAGCATATTTCATCCACCAGGTTGGCAAAACAAATTCAATAATCTCACAATATAAAGTGTTGGCCAAAAATTCAGAAACATGGTGCCCTTACCACTGCTGCTGAGAATATAATTTGGTATGGCCACTTTTGAGAGTAATATGGCAGGCGACCAGTGAAATTTAAAATACACATCTCTCATTGATCCAGCCATTTTCCCTCTGGGTTTGTACACACTAGAGAGACTCTCCTGCATGTCCTGATAACACCTGTATACAAGGGGGCTTATTACAACATTGTCTGTAATAGCAAAGCATAAATGTCCTCCACCAGGGGAATGAATGAGTAAAATATAGTATACTTATAATACATAGCAGAAAAAATAATGAACTAGATAAATATCCAGAAAGTACCTAGCCATGTAATATGAAAAATAGAGACATTTATTAAAGGCAAGATTGTGAGGAGCCAACGAACAGCTGACCTTTGACACAGTCAGGTCGGATGAGATGCATCTGCACAGCAGAGGCGACTGTGGTAGGATCTCCTGTCTATCTCTTCCTGTATGCCTATCCCTGCTAGCAAAAGGTGGTAGGATTTTGGGGTACCCGTGTGTTGTAACAAAAAATCTGCATGATGCCTCTGATTCTGCGAGAAATGACTTGCTGACCGTAGAATAGAGACCCCTAGCAACCCTAGTGCTGCCTGCTTCCCCCACCTGGGAAGTTAAGGACAAAAATTAAACTATGGGCAGACCAACTGCCAGAATGCTGAAGGAAGCTGTTGCTAGGAATGTTTCTTAGGGAGTCACCACTTAAAAGCTTAAGATTTATTAAAGCCACTACTCCTCCCATATCCTGGACAGGAGTATATAGAAGCAAGGATTTCTAGTTGAAAATAATAATCTCAATACATAGAAATTAACACAAAACATGCCCCCCCCAAGATGTATAAATAAAAAAACCTAGGCAAAAAATCAGTTACCTAACCGAGATAAATCTAACCTTAACGGACAATAACTAATTTCTATATAACCTATAAATCACCCCTTGCACCCTTTTAATTTAGACCAATCCCTAGAATCTTTATTAATAGACACCAAGTTACTAATTGGCACCTGAAAGTTTGTGCCCATATAGCTTTGTTGGCTATCTGATTAATGACCCTCTTGGTCAAAACAACCTTTGTTTAATATGGTTCACCTGTGGGACCTCCTGTACTTTTCAGTTATTTGTTTAACATGATTGATCTGTAAAACCTTCTGTGTTTTTAGAAATTATTTCTATGGTAACCGTTTCTGTTTTAATAATCACACTATGCATTGAATGTTGTATAACCTCCCCTATAAAAGTAAAGACTGATTTTTCTCGGTGAGTCAGTCGGGCCCAAAAAGCCTGGCTGTCCTCCAGCACCCTACCGGGTGTCTCCCTTCAGTTTCTACGCCTTAGCCACACATCCTTTGGGGACCCTGAGACCCTGCTGAGGCTGGACCCTGGCACAAGATACAAGAAACATTGTAGATAGGACAATGACACCTCAGTCCCTTTCAAAGTAGGCACCTTGAGATCTCACACTGTTCTCCCAGTCTCCATCAGCTGCCCCGTCATATTTTCTTGAATGCCGTCAATGGTCTGAAATGTCTTCCCTTCAAAGATTATTTTAGTTTTGGGAAAAGCCAGACATCGCAGGGTGCCAAATTTGCACTGTAGGGGGCTGAGCCACCTGGGTGATTTGATGTTTCACCAAAAAACTCTGCACAAGACATGATGCATGTGTGGGCTTGTAGTAATGAAGCTGCCAATTACCAGTTGCCCTAAGGTATGGCTTTCTGAATCATCTGAATAATTTTCATGGAGGAATGTTCAAATTTAATGCAAAATTTGATGCAGCCCTGGCTGGTGTGGCTGAGTGGATTGAGCACCAGCCTGCAAACCAAAGGGTCGCTGGTTTGATTCCCAGTGAGGGTACATGCCTGGGTTGCAGGCCAGGTCCCCAGTTGGGGGTGTGCAAAAGGCAACCACACACTGATGTTTGTCTCTCTTTCTCCCTCCCTTCCCCATTTCTCTAAAAATAAATAAATAAAATCTTGAAACAAGAATTGATGCAGATTTGTTGCTCTACTCACTTAGGCATTTTGAATTTAACAACCACACAGTACACATGCTCACTCAACAATGTCTATGAGCCCCAGTGACTAGTACAGTGAAGTCATCATTGTTCATGCATGCACATTCCAGTCCACTCTTGGTTGCTGGATTACACTGATGTCACACAAACGGTCCTTGTTATATTAATAATGACTTTTTTCTGGACAGACCTTGTATATATTAGAAACAGAATATCAACTTTGAAAAGTGAGGCACAGATTGATATTTATGTATTCAGAAAATATTTGAATGCCTACCCTGTATATGGAGCTTTTCTAGAACCTGGAAATGCAGCAGAAAATAGACAAAGCCAGACAAGTCGTTGCTTTGTGTATGTTATAATCTTGGAACACAAAAAATTAGTAAAAAGATATTGATATAAAATGTTTAATTGTTCATGTATGGTTTGATATATACATAATTTTATGACACACATATAAAAAACAGACCAGAAGGATATACACCATTTTTATATCAGGAGGAAAGGAAAGAAGTGGGACTTGTGCTGAAGAGAGTTAAAGGGCACATTAGCTATACCTGTCATATTTGAATTGCCTAAAAGCCATTCTATTGCCTGGTGTAAATTCAAATGTTCTCTTTTGTAGTAATAATACATAATTGAAAGACATTTTCTAGCATAAAAATTTACAGTCTACGGTTAATGTTTCTTAAACTGAAGTCTGACTATAATTCTCAAGATTGAGAAATTGATTACTGATTGATTCTTGCCAAACACGTGAATAATTTATAAAGTAGAATGCCCATTTGTGTTAATTTCCAAAGAAAACGGAACAAATGTATAGATTAGATATGGGCTCTGCTTTTCTT